ATCCTAACCTATTTAACATGGAAAAGATGCCCCTATGGTAATATTTCAAATACCCCAAGATGAAGCGGACTTAAATAGAAGTTAAGTTTTAATCGGCATCGGTCTTCATACAGAAATTTCATATCCATCACCAATAAAATAGCTCAGACGTGGACAAAAGTTACACTTAAAATTTCCTTCATTTCAATAAATGAATTATGCTGTCCTACGCACCTCTTCATCTGAGCTGACGTAACTTCCAATTTCTCTTTCAGAGTATATTTTTGAAGTAGTTTGTTGCAAGAAATCCGAGATCCTCTGTACGAGAAAGTCTCTATCCTTCAAGTTGGCAAAGAGGAATGTCATTCTGTTTTTAGTGCTGATTGACAATGGGCTAGGTAATACATTGGAGCTGTCTGCCTTTTCCACTATTGTCACCTGGAGAGAAACAGTAACCCCTGATCATGGTTCAGCATCAGTTAGCTTGTTATGCTTCAATATCAGAAGTGAATCTTAGACCCCCCTACTCCACATTACATATATTACGCAATTAACTGCATTCATCGTGCAATAAAATTTAGACCATCCACATGTGCAAAGTGATTATCACATGATAAAAATAACTGTCCAGCTATAAGAGGAGCCAACCAGCTGTAAAATTAGTGCTTGAAAGTGTGCATCAACTCTATAGCTGATTTCTATCCAGCTTTCATTTCATCATGTAGCAGAGCCCTCAGGAAACACCTTTGTAAAATCAATAATGCAGCAGGTTCTTGTAGAGTGTTAAAAACGGATACTCCCCTTGTTTAATAACCAACATCTCTACCCAAACAATGTTCTGCAACTCTGGAAACAAAAACTGTTATTTATCCACACCAAGCCTCAGCTTTTCCAGCTCTCTTTGTCCATGTGTAATAGCTTTGTTGTCTCCAAAACATCACATAATGCTTAAATTGTTGTATTATTCACCATGTTTTATTTAAAAAAAAAGGTGGGGGGAAATGTGTAGTGCAACCATCACTTTTCCAGAGGAGGTGTTGAGTTTCCTAAGGCCTTCTACTTCCAAAGTTATGAAACTAGCTGTGGGTTGTTATCCTAGAATGCTATTTTTTCCTCACTGCTAGATGTGTCACAAAGCTTTAAAAGATCACAGACTCGCCAAGTAGTTAAATAATCACAATGTGGCTTTTAAATACCAATTGTTATAAACTGTGAACTTTGTTGAACACAAAATTTATCCCCTAGAACATCCCTAAAACATTTAGAGTCCGAGTCTAAAGGCAAGAATTGGCTAAACTGGCCACATACAGACAGTACACAGTAGCAGAGACTTTTTTCCTAAAACAGTGAATCAGCGTGTCTTAGAATCAAACTCTAATTTACTGCTGACAGTAAGTAAACAACTGTTTAAGAAACAATTAATCATTTTAAACAATAGGTCACTGAACTAAATACCCAGTCTACCCCAGATACAGACAGAAGTCTCAAGGACTTCATTCCATGTAAATCAAGAAACTACTACTAAGAAAAAATATCCCATCTCTTTCTTGCTTGCCAATAAATCGCTAAAAGATCTAGAGAGCAGTTGTGCTTTGTTTTACCTTTATAAAGATTTTATTTGACTTTCAAAATCGCTGGCCATGTATTCACTAACATAGATGAACTCCATTATTTACATAGTATTCAGAACAAAACCTATGAAGTGCAAGTCAATATTTCACTAAGTTTCTAAAAGATAAATTAAAATACAGCACCCTCCCCCAACTGCTAAATTATACACTAGCTATAAACATGTGAAATATGGTCTGTGCAATACCGATTATTCAATTAAAAAAAAATCAATCAAGTTCACAGAACGACCTCATCTCCAAAGCATACAGCACATCTGTAAGTGCTTTCAACCATTCCTTCTATACCTTTTATCAGAATCTTTTAGGTAATAAAAATTGCATTAGGCACTTCAGAATAAGACAAAGCACATTTCAAGTTACCAGGATCCTTCTTTAATAGTGGTTCATGATCAGACATTAGTTCAATAGCTTAATGTTTCATTAGTTAAAAGGATAAGATAATTTGTTCTTCGTTTAACATCTCTGAAGCATTCAAAGACCACAATCCACATTTCAATCTCTAAATGATAGTGCCCCATTCTTCTTCTCAACCAACTTCCTTTAGTTTTTCTACTAACTATAAATCCACCTGCTTCTTAGTAATGTAGGAGAGTCTCATTAAAAATATATTCAAAATACCTAAGAAAAAATGTTCCTATGTTATTTTTCTGTTCCACTTAGAGTCATCCGAGAGTGCTCAGAGAGGAAGCACGAGTAAAATATGAGGTAAAATATGAGGTTAGACTGGATGTTACAGCCAGGATGTTGGGTTGGCTGAAGCAGTCACTTTTTCCTGAGCAGAAAACCAACTACTTCCCCATTCAAGGGCAGCAGACACGTTAAAGTGCTTATGCTAGAGACTGGGACTGCTGTGATGAATTCCGGGACTCAGACCTCTGTCTCTGATCCTTACTTCAGGACTAAAACTTAGCAGAAGTTATTGGTCCTGAAATGCTTTGCGTCTATCTAGCGACTCACAAAGCATTAGAATTTAGGGTCTGATCTAAAACTTTCTAGGGCTTTGAATCAAGTCCTTGCAAGTTCTGAATTCCTTATGTTTTCAATATCAAAACCCAACATCACGTTTCAGCTTTCCATTAAATCTTTCAAGTTTCATGTATATACTCCCTCAGCTGACCAAGGTCTGGACAGCCTCTGGAATCCCATGTTGCCACAGCTGTTCCTGTCAAAAGCAGTTATGAGTCCATATTCGAGGAGGCACATTATGCAGCTGTTCAGTCTGTTTCTTCCTCCACACTTAATTGGGCAATTTGCTGTTCCTCTTGATTTCTTTATTAACAGAGCAATGTGAATTTGAAGTCTGATCTCAGCTCATCAAGGCTAAAAGTAGCACAGTGACCCTGTTGGGAAGCTGGATTTCCAATGGAACACCATTTGTTTTGATCCTCAGTGATTTGTAAAAAACAAAAAAAAAAATAGTGTCTTAAAATAACCAACAGTGCCTCAGCCTAGATTATTTTTTCAAAAGAGCTGTTCTGGTTCTGGCTATGCATAAATTATGTTGTTATTCCCAGGAAAATAACCTCCTAGTTCGAGCATTTCTTCCTCATCCTGAAATACATGCAGATCTGTAAGCAATACTCTATATTGCAAAACTGTTAAAAGATTTTTTATTATAAAATACTTAAAGCATTTTTACTGCTACGGAAATGTTAAGTTTGTATTAAAATATTTGTGCTGCATCTATCAAGCAGAGGGATTCTTTGGCAGTCTCTTCCCAAAACTGGTGTTTTGATGTAGGATTTAAATGATATCCAACTAGATTTAAAAACTGAAAACTAGTGCAGCAATTTCTGGAGAGAAGAAAACACAACATTTTGACAGTTATTAATAATGCATAGCTGAAATCTGTTCACCCCCCACAACAGCAAAGCTGTCATTTAATCAATTCACCATTAAGCATTAAAAGTATTTAACTTTACATATAACACTGACAAATGTTACTATGACAGCTCTAAAAAGTCTTTCCCTCACAAGCCTGCCTAGAGTACACTGTGAGCCATGAGGATGAAGGATGGAGGAATCCCAAGGGCTACAAGGAGCGGGCAATGAAGACTCTCCACATATTGTAGTGGCATGAATCTAAAACTAAGATGCTATTTAATGGGTGCTCCTTTGTTGACCCAATTACAGTAACATGTCTGTAGAATAACAAATGGTTTAAAGGGCCTTCCTGAATGAATGCAAATTAAGGCTAGGACATTGTCTACTTCTAGGAAACAAAATTACACCCCTACTCTGGAGAACTTCAAATGTCACACTTACCTCCCGGAGAGGGATAATGAGGCTGCACAAATTCTCCTCTTTGCTGGTAAAGCAGATGTAATTTGTAGAAACAAACATTTGACCCAAAATGTGCATTTTGTTAAATGGAGTCCACAGGGTACAATCTGTGTGTCCATCTAGCTTCTCATCCTTGGGAAGTCGAAACAGTGCACGATATCTCTCACTCTTTGCTCTAGCATCAAGATCCCTAAAAACAATGTTTTAAAGATACTAGTACACATGAAAATACATTTCACACGTGTAGTCTTCTTATGCAAGTGATATGGCTAAGCATAAACTGTGACTCATTCATTTATGTAATGGCACATGTGACATGTGAATATCACATAGAAGGTCACACCTGTGAAACAACACTATTAATACTGGTACAATTTTAGAAATTACATGACATTTTATGGTATCATGGCCAGTCTTTCTAATGCACTTGTTGCCAAGTAATGTGCCATTGTTTAGTACTGGAGAGGGAAGATTCCT